CATTTAGGGTACAGGGGAATATGAGCATATAACACATCAATTCCTAATATACATTCAGATACTGATGTGACAACAATGCACTGAATTAGCCTAAAAGGCCCTAAACACAAGGCACATTTGCTTCCCTTCTCCACTATGATTTCTGCCTAAATTCTATTAATTGAATTCACTGCCCCATTCCAACAAGGCCAGGTAGGATGGTGACTTGTGTACAACATAGGTATTACATTCTGATTTCCTTCCTTACCCCTCCCCAAAGGTCCCCACACCTCAAACATTTAGATAGGTGCTTATGACCTTTGATTCTCCATGGGTGCAGGGAGACCTTGGTGTCACTCGTAATTGTCTTTCTCCTTAAAGCTGCTGAGGTCAGAGTAGAGAAGAAAGGATGGGTAAAGGGGTAAAGAGAGCAAGAATGGCTCTAATCCACTAAGCAAGGAGCATTTGCTTTTAGTTTGTTGCACATAGCGGCATCTCATGGTTTAACAAAATGAGCTTCCGAAGTCTGACCTGCACAGCACTCTAGCAGGTGGGGATACCTTGACTCAGCAGACATAGCAACACTGTATTCCAACTGGGGGCATGGGGTTTGCTCACTTTAGCTGACAAGCGATTGACGTGGACAGCAGCAACTTCTTTTTAAGGAGATCACTTTAATCTGGAGGCAATTGTTGCACCATTACTAAGAAAATATCCTTAAATTCTTCCCTAATTTAAGTGCAAAGTCCAGAGGAGTTTTCTGGGGCTGCACGTCTGACTTCAATAATTCCTCTATGTCAGCCTCTCATTTTCCAGTGAGCCACTTTGGTCAACAATGTAAATCTAATTCAGGGTATTAAAGGTCCAAATATAGGTTAATGCCTATATTAGTTGCTAGGATTGTTGAAACAAGTATCTAGGTGGCTTAAACAGCAGAAACTTATTGTCTCCCAGTATAGAAGACTAGAAGTCCAAGATCAAGGTGTCAGCAGGGTTAGTTCCTTATGAGACTGTGAGGAAGAATCTGTCCCATGACCCTCACTTAGTTTCTAGTTTTTCTTGTCAATAACTTGTATACCTTGACCTGTAAAAGCATCACCTCTATTTCTGCCTTCATCTTCATATGGCATTTTCCCTGTCTGTATCCAAATTTCCCCTTTTTATAAGGATATCAGTCATATTGGATTAGGGGTCTATCTGCTCCAATAGGACCTCATTTTAACTAAGTATATCTGCTCTGACCTTTTTCCCAAATAAGGTCACATTCTGATGTACTGGGACTAGGACTTCAACAGATGAATTTAGGGTAACACATTCAACCTGTAACACTGTTTTCCTATGGTTTCCCATGAGAGTTTGTCTGTTTCAGGGAAATCCCCCCCAAAAGAACCAAGCTCCCCTATGGCAGCCAAGACTATTGGAAAGAGCTTCAAGAACTTTAACCGTCATCTCTGAGAAGATCTCAGGTTAGCATGAAAGCCTGTAGGAAGGGCTAAGTCTTAAGACTTCCCAGCAGCTGCCATTCTACCTTAACAAGCATTGTGCATCTAGCACACTCATCTCCCAAGTGAACTAACTGAAATTTTAATGATTCACCTGATTCATGCGCATAGGGCATGCAGATTTCTTTCCTTTGCTTTGAATGTAAATGTACACCTCTGTAACTATTGTCTAAAGAGGGTTGTAAATTTCCTTTAACCAGGACTGACCTTTGCATCAGTTTGGATAATGAGGTGGACTTGAGGCTGGCAGCCTGATTGGGAAAGTCTTCTCACTTGGAGGAGTACAAGCAGCAACTAAGCCACTGTTCAGGCAACTGGCTTTGAGCCTCCTTTCTGATACTTGACATGAAAAATTCCTCCCTAATTCTTCCTCACTAGCAAACAACAAAATGGAGGACCATTCATCACCCTGCTGAACGTATGATTTGGTCACCATGCTTGTCACCGATTCCCACAGACTCTTCGCTCAAATCCTGTTAATCAGCCCACAAGACCTTCATAATCCTTCTTCCAGGAAGCCATGTCTCTGTCAGCATCCCATTCTCATTGCCAAAACTGTCAATAGCTATGAGGAGTGAGATTTTACTTCAGTTGCAAATTAACAAGTTAAACTGCCACAATTTCATGGATGCTGGTAGAAGACACAAAATTCCTGGGTCAGAGACTAAAGACTTCATTTCTCACAACTATGATAGCAGACAGAGAGTATCAGCTTGATCTTGTACTGGTTCCCTGGGCCCCAATTTCTTTTTTTTTTTTTTTTTAAGATTTTATTTGAGAGAGAGAGCTTGAGAGAGAGAGCACAGAGGGAGAGGGAGAAGCAGACTCCCCACTGAACAGGGAGCCCAATGCAGGGCTCCATCCCAGGACCCTGAGATCATGACCCATGCCAAAGGCAGACACTTAACTGACTGAGCCACCCAGGCACCGCTGGGCCCCAATTGCTGCACGACAATGTGAAGAGAACCAAGTGACCCCTGCACATAAAATGGGTCTCATTATAGGAAAGAAGCCCTGAGTTTAGGAACACAGATTTTTATAACGGTCACTAAATATGCTTGCCTTTTTGCTCAAAGGAAATGTCATCTTGATTTTCTAAAGTGGTTTCCTATACAAACATCCTGAAAAGATAGTGTAGACCAAAGGCAGTCCATACTCCTGTTTCTCTACGAACTACAAAGGCAGTGATGGGAAATTGCTTTTTTAGTGGAATGTAGCTGAGACAGATTGTCCCCAGAGCTTGTACTACTAACCATTACACTTGGATAGGCAGAATACAGTTTTATTCTTGTTTAGGTTATTTTTAAAAATTTTGACTTTATGCGTGATTTGAAAACCTTGGATATGAGTTTTATTGAAAATAGGAGCTTTACATATCTAAAGAAATGTATTTTGGTTATGTTGGTGCCATATTTGACAGTAATTTTTGAAGAGGGATAACAGTTGTTGGTCCTGTTTTTCCACACTGTTGTGTTGGAGGTTTCTTATATCGGTAACAGCAAGACCTACATCAGGAGAAATGTGTTTGCATGACTTGGAACAACATTGCTTTTACTTGACTCGACAGTTCATTTTTTTCTTTTTAAACAGCACTCATTTTAAATTTTAAAAAGATTTTTATTAACACTTTTATTACAATATTTATGTGGCAGCAATATCTAACAAGCTTAGACACAGGATAACTTTTTGATAGATTTTGCAACTCTGCCAGAAGCAGAACTCAAAATAAATGTGTTATTTAAAGCAACTGTGACAGTAATAATAAAAGGAGTGTTGTTAGTATCAAGCAAGTTTTCAATGCAAGGTCCAATAGCTGATTCTATTTTACATAGAAGAAAAATGAAAAGAAATATTTACATTAGAAAAAAAATGAGATACCTGTAGCAATGCACATTTACCAAAAACTGGAGAAAAATAGGTTATATGTTAAAAATTTGCTGAAAAGAAAACTTTAGTTGCCTGTATGTGAAGCCCCATGAATCATTCCACAGAGTAGGACCAAATAAACTAATTCCCCTTATTCCTCAAAAATCAAAAATGGTTACACCTAAAGCAAAAGTTACTGATTTTTCCCAGTTATACACTTTGCATTTCAAATAGTATTTACATTTTTTCCTCTCTTGATAATAAGTTCTTAAGTTTGAGGGTTATGCTACCGCACTGTGGTGTTCTAGCACTAGAATCCAGGGAGCCTCCGAAACTCTGGAAATACAGATAAGTCTTAGGGTATAAGGTCATATGCACATTTTAGGATGGGTGATGCTTTGTACTTTCATCTTTTATCCAGTTTTTATAGTGATATGTGAAGTGAAAATGAAGACCCACTAGCTTATTGTAGCAGTTTCCAAAGTAGAATATAAAGATGATTCACTGGGGCTAAGTGAAGAAAACACTAGAATTTTTATTTATATTCGTGCTCATTTAAAAAATAAAATAAGTTTTACCACTATATCATCGTATATCAGATTGAGGGCAGCACATTTTATTTATCATAAATCTTAATAATATTTACATTTATGCTTATGTATTTATAATAGAGTGTCAGTGCATTAAAATATTTTACTAATGGTGTGCAGGAATCCAAAGATTGAAGAACACTGCTCTAGATGAGTGAATATCAAGTTGTCATAAGATTTTGCAAGCCATCTGTAATTAACATGTGGGAGGAGGTGAAGGAATAGTACATTCTCAAATACTAATATATTTTTATTCACTTCAACTTTCCAAGACACTATTTATTTGGGGAAGAAGGCAGCTAATTGTGATTGAACAGTGCCTAGATGCTGCATATCCCTGCTTCACTGGGCATCACTATTACTGAATGCATAGAATTCCGTGACCACTATCACTATAACTTTCCAGAAGGCTTCAGTTTTGCCTCGTTTATTCTTGCTGTGTGATACATCGGATTGTCCAGCTGCTGTAGCAACATTTTTGTTTCGCTTTGTTTTAATTTTCTGTGAGACTACCTCAGAGTTCTTTCTTCGATACAAATGGATTTGGCAACATTTCAGACTAAACAACCATCTTAGCAGATACTTTAAGATTTGGACATTATGCAAAGTCATTTCTTGCCAAGCAAATTTCTTCACAATCTGTAAGGTTTATTTGCAAGGTAATATTTTGACATTAAATACTAAAAAATTGAAAGGCAGCACCACCTTGCCCAAAATCTTCACCAGAATATCTGGGAAGTCCTAGACCTGCCATCTAAATTTTGTCCTGATTTTTATCCCAGTGTTTAAATCCAAAATATTAAACTGATAAGAACAGATACTACCTACACTTGATCTTAGCCAAAAGGCCGAAAAGTGATATTAACCTTTTCCTGAAACAAAGTTCATTATAGTGGAAAAAGAGTCTGCTCTGATGATAAAAGGAGCCTGGCTTTTAGAATATCACCTTTTCTCTCCATTTGCTTAGTTTATTTTTATTATTTTTTGAAATGAGAATCTATGCATTTATGATCCTATACTATTTTAAAAAAATAGTATTATTTATTTATTTTTGCAGGCACTGAATAGAATTGGGCATAGGTAAGAGAATAGCTTTGGATGAAAAAGAGTATAGATTGTGTGAGATATAGTCACAACAGATGCAGGTGTGACAGGTTAAGAGCAAAGCTGCTTCACAGGAAATCTATAGCTGGCACCACAATGTAAAATGTTTGAAGTGGATGAAAGTAAGAATACCAAATGAGTGCATATCATCAACATAATAAAAGGAGCACTTAAAAGGAAGCTGCACTTTGTCTAAAATCTGGAAGCAAACATACTAAGAGCAAAAGGAATCTGAGTGCAACAAAGACGATGAAGGACTAATTACTTCCATAAGCTTATGCTCTTCAGGACAGGAGTGATTCTTCTCTGTCTCACTAGAGAATGCGAAGATTTCCCAAGCTTTATGAAGAATCCTAACCACAAATGTACATTTTAACACTGTAAACTTTGATTAAAGTACATTTTGGTGTTCTCAGCTTAATAAAGCGAGCTGGCCCTGCTTTTAGCTTGTATTTAGACAAGGGGATTGCACTTCTCTATGGTCTCTGCAGCATTGTGTTCTTGCTTTGCAGAGGATGGTAAGTCCGTCAACATAGGAATTGTAACACCTCTGGCCTAGCTCCTTCCAGTGACTGCCCTCCCATCTCATACACCCATCATATCCCCCAATCCTTCTACCTTTCAAATCTGCCTTTATTTAACTTTCCAGGTCCAGCATCTAAAGAGTGAAGTAGCACCAAATTGCGCAGTCAGGCAAAACACACTTTATGCTTTATTATTCAGTAAAGGTTCATGATCCATCAAGGCACCCCAGTGAGGATGTGTGAGAGATTCCTTTTCACTTTTTAATAATGATTTATCCAGGTAAAATCCCTGCACTTAAAACTACTACAATAATTCATTAACCCATTCTTTTTGGGACTATCAACTGTTGCTTTAACAGCAATTTGAAAGTTACTTTAAAGCATTATATAGCCCCAGACTTCACTGGGGCTCTGCATGTAAAGCTCCAGTTGGGCACTTTCCCATTTGGGGAGTCTCAGGGAGTCATGTCTAACCCCCAGACCCACTATGTGGAGTAAACAGTCCCCTTTGTTCACCTCATTCACTTGCTAGACCTGCCATAGAACACCCTTCCCCATTCTATGACTGCTTCTGACTTAACCATAGGACATGCTTCGAAGGGTCTGCCTGGGCATGACTGGCAATATGAAGTATTTGGAGGAAAGGTTAGTAAAATGTTAAAGCAACTTTTCCTTCCTTCCCACCAAAGGATCTGAAGGACTAATGGCCTTTAGATAATATGAAATTCCAATACCAGACACGCCACCTTTATGTTCATATCTGTGTGTTCAAACTCAGGAAATAGCACAAATCATTTTCTTTTGAGATATAGAAGGAACAAGAAGCCATGGATGGAAACAATAAGACCAGAACAGAAGGAACAGTTCCTGGAATTCCGGGGAATTAGGAAAAACAGGCTGATTGGGAAGCACTCTTGGGACCCACATTACTTTTTCAAAAAGTTAACCTGGCAACAATATTCAGAACCCTCAGCCCCCAACCCTGTCATACACCCTCTCTGTCCATTCTTTCCTCCATCCTCAATTTCACTCCTAACTTCAGAGCTACTGGTTTGCTTACTTTCCTTGAAAACTTACCCTCTAGGCTCTCTGTCCCTGGCTACCATCAGTGGTCTGGATCTGAAAATGTCTCCATAATTGCTACCCTCCAAAGTGGATAAGCTAGAGAGAAAAAAGGGTTTCCTTAATTTTTTTAGCATCCACACTGTCAATTTTGAATACATTCTATCATGGAAATGTATGTTCATTGTAAGATCCCTAAAGTATTCCATAATTAATGAGCCTTTGTAGGCTGGCCTAGAGTATCTATCACAGAAGATTTAATTTCTCTGTGAAATTACATTTTTGGTAACTTTTATTTAGGTAAGATTTCAAACTTATGGAATAGTTACAGTAATAATACAAGGAGTTCCTATATACCTTTTAGTCACGTTTACATTTTCTTCCATTGGTTCTGTAGGTGTGTATACAGAGAAAATATTTTTTGAATCTTAATTAACTTACAAACTTAGAAGACAAATTATCATCAAACAGGGTCTGTTTAAAAATTTGATAAAGAGACATTGTGTTTTATGCTTTTTTTATTTTTTAAAGATTTTATTTATTTGAGAGAGAGAATGAGATAGAGAGAGCATGAGAAGGGGGGCGGTCAGAGGGAGAAGCAGGCTCCCCGCCGAGCAGGGAGCCCGATGCGGGCGATCCCAGGACTCCAGGATCATGACCTGAGCCGAAGGCAGTGGCTTAACCAACTGAGCCACCCAGGTGCCCTGTTTTATGCTTTTTAATTTCCTTTAATTCATATCATTTTTGCTGTAATAAGGGTTCAGTTCCAGAAAGAAAAATGTATTTAAGTCTTTATTTTTCTTTAAAATGTTTTTATTAACTTCATATAATTGTGAGACTATAACTCTATTTTCCCAAGGCCTATGGTACTTTCCAATGAGAGGATTGGTATTTAATAAGATACAATCAGTGCTTCAAGAGGTTGGGATATCATTCACTAAATTGTTGTATCTGTCGTAGTAAACTTGGGATACTAGAGGACAATCAGGAATCACTTTTTATTCCTGAGGTCACCAGGCTAGTGTATCTATGACTCTGCTAATACGGATTTAAAAATTATAATGTTCATCTTTCTCCTCTTTTGAAATGGAGCTCTTTTTAAAATCAGATCCTTTTTTTTTTTAAAGATTTTATTTATTTAACAGAGAGAGACACAGTGAGAGAGGGAACACAAGCAGGGGGAGTGGGAGAGGGAGAAGCAGGCTTCCCGCCGAGCAGGGAGCCTGATGCGGGGCTCGATCCCAGGACCCTGGGATCATGACCTGAGCCGAAGGCAGACGCTTAACAACTGAGCCACCCAGGCGCCCCTAAAATCAGATCCTTATCCCAAACCAAACTCTGTAGGTTATTTAGTTCTTCAGAGAGCTTACACTAATATCATTAAAAATAGAAGTTCCAGCTCCAGAAAAATGTTTGAGAATTTTCTTAATGAAATCATAGCATCATTTTCTTCATCAATACTAACATTCTCTTTAAAAAATATCATTGAGATCATTCAACTAGAATAAAAACATTCACAAATGTGTACTTAGAGAAAAAAACTTGATGATTCTTAAGACATATATACACACCAAAGTGTCCAACACAAATATTTAAAAATAAGCTATTAGCAAGAAGAACAAGTCTCAATTCCCACTTCTGAACTTAGATTTTCTTATTGGAACTTTATATGGCTCAGCATGGCAATGCAGGATGTCTGCTGAAATAGATCTAAATTGTGTGTGTGTGTTTAAATGTTTTACTTCTGGACATTATGGTATATCCCCTGGATTCTTACTTTACTCTCATGTTGCTTCTCTAAATTAAATTAGAATGATATTATTGCATTTTAATATAGACTGTAACCCTCTTTTATGCTGAATGTTATGATACAAAAATGAATTAATAGGAATTAAATTGTTAATATGAATTAAAATAGCTTTTACCAAAGTGCAGAATAGAAAAATGTCAAACAAAAGGCAGTATTTATTGATATGACACATTACGTTATGGCAGATATTTTTATAAAACAATCTTTGATATTTATAGAAGAACTACTTTATATTCATATTGCATCTAACCCATAATTGCTTATTTTCTTAAAAAAGAAGAAAATGTGCAACAGAAAAAATATTCAACCTATTTTGTTATATACACCAACAGTGAAATGAAGAAATGTAATAAAATGCAGAGCTGAAAGGTTCAAAGAGCTTATGGTATCAAAGACTCTAATTTCTATCTGGAAAGCTTTTTGGAGGTCACACTATCACAAATGCACTTTTACAACCATGGCATTCCACCATGACACAAGACTGTGGGTCATTCCATCAGGCTGTGCAGGTCAGGACACTGCAATTACCTGATAGATTTACATGTGCTGAATTGTGAGTACAGATAATAAGTGTAGTGGGTATAGTAACAGAAATAAACCCCAAATGCCATTTTTGAGGTTTCTTTCCTTTTTTTTTTCCCTCTAAAGACTTGAGTATCGAAGTAAATACATTTTTGTCATGTTAAGTGGAAGAAAAAGTAGATCGTGACTTAGCTCCTGAAATTTTAATACTGTTCTTAGTCATCTGCAATCGTAAAGTGCTTTTAGAGATTCCACCCATGCTCACAGGAGTCAAAACCCAAGGACTAATAATCAGATATATATTTTGCTAATCTATTCCTGAGGCTTTGCCTAAGAAATTGGCATTGCCATCTTCAACATCTTTCTTCTGGAACCATGGTTTTGAATTTGTTACTGGTTGATAAGCTTCCAGGAAATGACAGATTCCAGGAATTTCACTGGGGAAGTTTGGTGGAAGTTCTTCCCTTGATCGAGGGGTAAACACAAAACCAGGGCAGTCTTTGAGTAATCTGAAAAGATTAAAATAAAAATATTAATAAAGATTAAAATAAAAATATTAATATTAAAATTTAATACTGATATAACTGTCTATGCAAGAAAAAACAACCAACTAAATCAATATTCCTGAGAATACAGATCTTCCTTGACTTATGATGGGGTTACATATTAATAAGTTGAAAATACCATAAGTTGAAAATGCATTTAACACACCTAACCATGTAACCTACGGATCATCATAGCTTGACCTGGCCTGTCTTAATGTGCTCAGAACACTTAAAGTAGCCTTCAGTTGGGCAAAATCCTCTAACACACAGACTACTTTATAATAAAATGTTTAATATCTCATATAATTTATTCAATATTTTATTGAAAGTGAAAAACAGAATGGTTGTAAGTGTATTGGTTGTTTATTCCCCGATTGCGAATAAGAGTGTCATGTGGCATATAGCTAGTTAGGGAAAAGATCAAAAATTAGAATTCAAACTATGGTTTCTACTGAATGTATAGTTTTCCCACCATTGTGAAGTTGAAAAATCATTAAGTTAATCATCAAAAGCTGGGGAATCTCTGTATTAATAAACCAATCATTTTCAGTGTGTTTGACAGAACGATCATAATGATTTTTAAAAAAATCTTTACAGAAGAACAATGAAGAATCAATTCACAATACCAAAAAAAATTCTACCAAATAATATATTTCACTCATATTAGGAAAAAAATTTATAAAATATTTTTGTAAAGATATAACCAATAATTCATATAACAGTAAATTCACAATAGTGGGGAAAAAACCAAAATAATCCCAAACTCTAATAATAGCAAAAGACCCCCAAGCCCATGCATAAACATAGTTTTATAGAATAAGGCTTCCTAAGTTGAAAGAGAAAAGACATTGTCCATTTATTGATTCATTTATTTCATAAATATTATAGAAAAGTAGTCAAGGGCAAGGAGTTGTAAAAGAGGGGTGCCTGGGTGGCTCAGATGGTTAAGCGTCTGCCTTCGGCTCAGGTCATGATCCCAGGGTCCTGGATCGAGCCCCACATCAGGCTCCCTGCTCAGCAGGGAGTCTGCTTCTCTCCCTCCCTCTGCTTCTCCCCCTGCTCCTGCTCTCTCTCTCTCTCTGCATCTCTGTGTCTCGAATGAATAAATTAAAAAATCTATAAAAAAAAAGAAGTTGTAAAAGAGAAGTTCTATATAAGATATATAGATATAGGTATATATCGATAAGATATATATATATAATCAAAGAATAACATTTGAATCTCTCAATAGAATTTTTAAGAATTCTAGGTTAGTACGACTAAAAGGAGATTTAATTGTACAAACTGACACTCTTCTTACTATCTGGTATTTGAAATATTTCTTCTTAAATGTATCTGTTTACCGCATTTTATTATCTGCTACCAACTACATATCCATTATAGTAAACTCATTTTATTGTATTTGTTTTTAGTTTATTTTTAAAGTTTTTATTTATATCCCAGTTAGTTAACATACAGTGTGATATTAGGTTCAACATTTCCATCGGTGCTCATCACAAGTGCCCTCCTTAATCCCCTCCACCTATTTCACCCGTCCTCCACCCTCCTCCCGTCTGGTGACCATCAGTTTGTTCTCTGCGGTTAAGGGTCTATGTCTTGGTTTGCCTGTCTCTCTCTCTTTTTCCCCCTTTGCTCGTTTGTTTTGTTTCTTAAATTCCACATATGAGTTAAATTCATTTTAAGTTCCAATCCTACTGATGAAGTTACTGGCTCTTCTTTCTATTTGCTTCCCTAGCTTTTTGTCAAATGCAAACTTAAGAAGCATTTCTCTAACCTATTATTCAGGCATATGTATTCAGGATGGAAAATGTTGACAGTTCTGGGCCCTAAACCAGCTTCCCCAGAAAACCACTTATATCTGCCCAACCAGACCATGGCCTCCGACTCATCTGTTTGTGATGTCATGCCTAAATGTAATAGCATGATGGTGCTGCATTATATTTGGTACCGAGACACCTCTCTATGTACTGGAGAAACCAACAGAATAGAAATCCAGGTTTCAAAAATGACAGACCTCAAGTAGAAAAGAACAGGTGAATATTCAATTAACTAATTTTTAAAAACTCATCAGTAAATATGTAATCTGCAAAATAATTAATGAAATGATGCTTTAGTTATGATCCATAAATATCTGAGTGTCTGTTATTTATAAGGCATAATATTGGGTAAAATATAATGAGAAGTTACAGAATTCCATAGTATTAAAATGATAAGCTTCAAAGTCTGGTAGATCTAGGCTGGAATAGCAGCAAAGATGTCAGTTTTCTAGCTTTTAAGATGGAGTAGTAATAGTGCAGGTCTCTTAGGACAGCTGTGAAGATGAAGTAAATAGATTAAACATGATTGGTTAAGCATCAATTAATTATCAGTTAACACTCATCATCTTGGTAACATTTAGGGAATAGAAACCTTCATATACTGTTGGTGGGGTATAAATCGATAAGACCAATTTGTACAGCTAATTGATGCTTAGTAAAGCTAAACTGGATATTGCCTGTGATCTGGGAATACCATTTGTAGGTATCATAGATATACATGGCTTATTCATACTCTAGAATACATTTTATATCACATGCACATATAGTGAATGCTAGACCTGGCTCATACTGGCTTATGAGAGCCAACAGCTAAACATTCAGGAATTTTATGAGCCAGTTAACTCCATCTGTAGCTGAAACCTGCTGTGGTGGGAGTACATACACCATAGAAATCAGTAAATGCAAAAAATCAAAGATTCTCCACTTTACTCCCAATGCTGGTTTACCTGCATGCCGCTGCATTAGGAATAGTTTAAATAAATGAACTAGGTTTCCAATTCATCAAAAAAAAAAAAAAATCTCAAAAACATAATATGCAGCAGATTTAAGGCAAGTCGGCAAAGGATATGGATAGGTTGAATGGACATCTATTTTTCTCTGGTGGAACCTAAATGAGAGTTACACTCTTGGCTTCTCTCTGCCCCCTTTCTTTCCTGGTAGCAAGTTTGGGAGAAGCTGCTGAGCATGCTCTTCTCAGTGCCTTCCTGCCTCTCCTTGGGAGCCTGCCTGTCTGCGGGAAATGTATGTTCTCAGCTGCTCCTACAAACCCTAAGGGGCATAGAGTCCAACATGTCAGACAGTTGGGGGGGCTAGAATATTTTTTTTTTAATAAAATAGGGATCTGAAACAAAAATGGTAACATACTGACATTTATTAAATATTAGTATTGGCCACATGGGTGTCACATTTTCTTTGATTTTTTTTCTGTAGGTTTAAAATGTTTAAAAATTAATTATAAAAATGCATAAAACTATAAAGGTTTGATAAACAACAATAATAAAATTATAGGTAATTAAGATCTTTCTTTTTTCTGTCCACATCAACCCAGCATCTTCTATTGAATACGGTAATTACAATATTTTTTTTTCGGTAATTACAATATTAACCTTACATTTGAGTTTATATAAAATATTCAGCACTTAGAAGTGGCCTTAAAGTATACCATTTGAATTGAGGTGCCTTGCTCACGAAGGCACATCTGGAGAGCTGTGTTTAGCTGTACAGCATATCTTCTGAATACAAATTCTATGCTTTAAGAAACTTACAGATAAACACAATTAGAGTATCATGAAGTTAGAAATGTTCATTAAATCATCTTCAAGAAAAAATCAGATTTTTTAAAAAGATTTATTTATTTATTTGAGAGACAGAGAGCGTGCAGGGAGGAAGGGCAGAGGGAGAAAAGAATCTTAGGCAGACTCTTTGCTGAGTGGGAGCCCGACACGGGGCTCAATCTGACGACTCTGAGATCACCACCCTGAGATCACAACCCGAGCTGAAACTAAGAGTCGGATGCTTAACCGACTGTGCCACCCAGGTGTCCCAAAAAGATCAGAATTTTTAAGGAAAACAGGTTGGAAAAATAATACCATTTAGATGAAAGCCTGATGGAGGTCAGACCCAAGAAAAGCAACAGTCTCAGGGCAGATGTCCGCATACGGTGGGAGTTTTTCTTTACTCTCTCTCAATCCAATACCATTTTCCCCAAATTGTTGCATTAACTCTCCTTTTTTTCTGTCATCTCTCCAAATTCTCTTTCTTCTCTCTGTTCCTTCCCCTTATAGAATCCAAGTCCTGTTTCTCTGTTACTAGGTTCTCAGATGTTTCTTGCAAATAGGAGTTCCTGGGTCCACTTCCCCACCCACCCTGGGCAGTATCCATTTATATCCCCCACGAGCCATTTTTGTCTTTAATGATCCCTGGATCACCACATAAACCTGTCTTATTAATCCACTGACCTGGAACTTGGACAATACTTAGTCTCGTCTCCGTTTTCTGCACTGCAGTAAGATCAAACAAGAAGGCAGAACATTGTCCCCGAAAATAAAATTTCTCATGACATTTAGAATAAAGGAATGTATAACTGTCATGACACAGCAACATTCTAAATTACTGATTAGAATTGGAAGTGAAAGGCAAGGTTTGAAGTTAAGGATTTTTTGTGTGCGTGGGGTATGTATTCTGTGTCCTAAATTTACAAGTGTTTTGTAAGTATATCAGGGATGTTACGTTTGATATACTTTTATTTTTTGAGAAGTGTCACCCTAGGTTTCAATGTATTACTAGTAAAGTTCTCCAAAGAAATAATTAGGTTTTATACTTGTACAATTTCCAATAGAGTCTACTGTTTGTCCCAAACTTTGACAGAACTGGAATTGTGTCTCTATTTTACAATCCAGTTGTTAAATTTCATAAAGCATGGACTTTTGATTCAATTTAAATTATCTATTCTCTTTTAAATTTTCCTATTATTTGGAAAAAAAATAGTTTTTAAAAGAAAGCCTTTTAAAATGTGGTTAGACGTATTTCACATTAAATACTTATTTCTTGCCTAAATAAAGCATTTTAACTACCACTTGCCCTTTAGAGAAGACATAAGTATTTCCTATATGAGAGTAAGAGGTAAGTAAATTGAAAAAGGAAAAAACAAATAAACCATACCATATTTGTTTACAAAAGATAGAAATGAATTTAGCAAATGCATTGATGTTCAGCATCGATTAAATTTTCATTATCATTTACATATGTGCATAAAAACACATACTAAGAAATAATGAATAAAACACAAAAATGTGAATAGTTACTGTCTCTGGATCATGAGATTGAGTTATTTTTATTTCCTTCATAACTTTCGGATATTGTAAATTTTCTAAAATAAGCATATATTACTATTATAATCAAAAATAATTGATTAAAAAAAGGTGACATTATGTATGGTGTAAAATCCTGTACGTGCATGCTTAGTAACATTGTCTATATGTCATCATATTAATAAATCCTTAGAGGATATTATTTGTGGTGTCATAAAAAATAATAATAAATCTAAGGATTTGAGCTATGAGCCTTCTCCGGTTGCTGAAAATGTATATCAAAGTGTCATGATCCTCTGTTGGAAGACACGAGATCCTAAATAACATTTGGGGAGTAAAATGAGTAGCTGATATCAATGTCTCCTATCAAGATTTAAGACAACCAGACTTTGAGATATGAAACAAAGGAAAAATTTGGAAAAGTTTTGTCTTATACTGTCTGAAAACAATTAAAATAGAAGAAACAGAAAATACACTTTTTTTTATGCAAAGGTTTGGTTTTAAGGATAGATACGCAGCCAAGGACTCCTCATGGTGCTCATGCATATATATTATGTTATTGAACACGCAACAGCAATGAATGGATTAGCAAATACTCTTATTAATTATTACTCTCACATCCTCCAGATTATTACTCTCACATCCTCCAGAGAGCAGAGTCATATCCTCTAAGGATTTGAGTTCTTATCCCTGCCTGGCATATGTGGGAAGACTCCAGGGCTATTACCATTACAACAATCTCCAAGGACTTTTCCAATTCTCTTGCTGTCGTGACTCATTTTCAGATCAAAGAGTGGACTGTCAATCAATCAATCCTTATTGCTTTCCTACTGTGTTCCAGGCATTGATCCGGGAAGTGGGGCTATAAAACGTATATGCAGGAGGCTGACACTGTACAAGGGGAGGCAGGCAGCAAACACATAAAGAAAACACCGTTTCAGACACAGGTGTGAGCTAGGAAGATGAAAAAATAAAAATAACGTGAGGTGTGTGGGACAAAAGTTGTTCCTCTAGCTACGGCTGTTAACTGACTAGTGTGTCTTTGAAGAGGTGACATTTGACTTAAGGTCTAATTCTGAGAAAGAGGAAGACACAGGATGATCCAGGGACGAAGTGGAAAGCAGAGGAACAGCCAGTATCCTTGATTCGAGAGCGGGTTTAGCAAGTCTGACGAAAAAAAGGAAGGCCAGGGTGGCAGGGTATCAGCGAGCGAAGGAGAAAGTGGAAGAAAATAAAGTGACACAGGTTGTTGGCAGGACACTGATCAAAGAGGACATTTTAGTCTGTGGTGACATACTTAAATTTTATTCTGGCTGCAGTGGGAAGCCGTTGGAGGGATTTTAACGCAGGAGTGACGAGATCGGATCTATACTTTCGAGAGACAATCTGGCTACTGTGTGGGCGGATGGACGGTGGGGAGGAGGTGTACAAGAAAGCAAGCAGAAGGGTGAGGAGGATCCTGGGTTGGCTCCGGTGGGACAGAGGAGGGAGCCTTGCCTTGGGGTGCAGTCCTGAAGGAAGTGAAAAAAGATGTATTCAGGATATAATTTGTAGGTGGATGTGGTAAATTGTGGGGGGGGGAGAAAGCAATGATCACTCTGAGATTTAGAGTCGAAGGAACGCGGTAGATGGTGGTGCCATTTTAAGGAGATTGATAAAGCTAGTCTGGATGGGGGGAGTGGATATTTCATCAGGCTCTGGTATATGGGAAATCATTTGTTCTAAGATGATCATGTTAATTTTAATTTGTCACTTAGTCATCCGAATAGAAATATAGAATAAAATACACAAGTCTGTAGCTCAGTGGAGAATTGTGGGATGGGCTAGAGATTAAAAAAAAAAAAAAAAAGTGAGTGAATAAAGTCCAGACATAGAAGACAATGGGGACAGAGCTCTGGGCACTTTGAAGGTTTGGTAGGGAAAGAGTAACAACACAAAACACTGAGACGGTGAAGTCACGGGGTAATGAGAAAACCAGGTGAGGGTGGTGTCACAAAAGCCTAAGAAGAAAACATTCAACAGAGAGAGTGGTCAAGCTATTCAGTTACCATTGAGATGTTGAGGAAGATAAGGGGAGAGAACTGACCATGATTTTCGCAAGGGACACCGATGACCCTGATAAGAACCATTTCAATGGAGTGCAAGGGACACATGCCGATCGGTGTGAGTCAGAGAGCCAATGGGAGGTAAAAAAAAAAAAATAGAGACGGTGAGCATGAACTACTCTTGCAATGAGTTTTGCTGGAAAAAGGAATAGAAATATAGGGGGGTAGCTAAGATACACTTGGAAACAAGGAATATACTATTTTAAGAGGTCTGATAGTAAGATATGTCTGTATTCTGATGGGAATAATCGTTTCACCAGAGAAATTAATCGTAGAGGGAGAGCAGGTATTTTCAGGAGACAAGTTTTTGAGAAAGCGAGTGATGTGGCAGCACTAAGAGCAAACCTGGGTGGATCATCTGGAAAAGGAGCAGCACGGAGGGCGGCACTGTCACCCCAACAAGAGCCTAAGACCAGGGCCCCGGGGGAGCTAGGTTAATGGGGTCTGCCCTGGAGAAGGTGGTGATGTGCTTATCTGATGCATTTTTGTCTTCTCCTGTGAAATATGAAGTGAAGTTATCGACTTAGAGCCAGGGGTGGAAAGGAAAGGCTGGGGAGTTTTTTTTTTTTTCCCCAAAGATTTTTATTTATTTATTTGAGAGAGAGAGAGAGCATGAGAGGGGGGAGGGTCAGAGAGAGAAGCAGACCACCTGCTGAGCAGGGAGCCCGATGTGGGACTTGATCCCGGGACTCCAGGATCATGACCTGAGCTGAAGGCAGTTGTTTAACTAACTGAGCCACCCAGGCGCCCAAGGCTGTGGAGTTTTTTTTTTTTTTTTTTAAAGATTTTATTTATTTATTTGAGAGAGAATGAGAGACAGAGAGCACGAGAGGGAAGAGGGCAGAGGGAGAAGCAGACCCCCCGCTGAGCAGGGAGCCCGATGCGGGACTTGATCCCGGGACTCCAGGATCATGACCTGAGCCGAAGGCAGTCGCTTAACCAACTGAGCCACCCAGGCGCCCAAGGCTGTGGAGTTTTAAGAAGAAAGAAGATGCTATAAAATAGCTGTCTCTGAGAACAAGAACGATAACTTGCTTGGTACAGTTTGGTACGTTAGCTACCACACGTATCTTGAATAACGTTTTGTTATTCAAGCATTTCCGTTGTAACTGGATTCTTATCTTTTTTTAAAGATTTTATTTATTTATTTGACACAGAGAGACACAGCGAGAGAGAGAACACAAGCAGGGGGAGCGGGAGAGGGAAAAGCAAGCTTCCCGCTGAGCAGGGAGCCCGACCAAGGCTCAATGCCAGGACCCTGGGATCATGACCTGAGCCAAAGGCAGACGCTTAACGACTGAGCCACCCAGGCGCCCTATAACTGGATTCTTAAAATGAGATGAAATGTCTCCCTGTCTGGCACTTGAGCTAAGGGCATGTTGAGGACCATGCCCTATAACTTGTGGGGACTGGGTGGCTAGTGCCAGGATGGTTCTGCTGTCAGAATAACCATCAAAGTATGGAGAGCATTAATACGTGCTTTGAAAAGAATATTAGTGGGGGAAAATAGGATGTGTGTTAAGGGTTACACCTGGGCTACAAATATCTCAGAGTCGTTCTCATGATGCTGAGTAATTTTTAAAAAGGTGAGGATGATAAAATTATTGCTTTTCTCTTTCTTGTCAGATTATCTAAGCAAGAAAATGTTATGGACGATAATATAAACAGTGACAACTGTGTATAAATGAAAAGAAGAACGTACCTGTACGTTGTTGGGCTGACGTTGATTTTCCGTGGTACACTGCAGGACTCAAATTTGTTCGCCAAGGTGACATTGTTTCCAAAAAGACAGTAGCGAGGCATTTTAACGCCAACGACTCCAGCAAAAACTGACCCAGAGTGCAGTCCAATTCGCATCTGAAAGCCAAAAGTAACACAATGTCCTCGTCACTGGCAAAATACTTCGCGCTCGCTCGTCAGTACTGTATGAATGCCCTTTACAAGATTTTACCCTTCACTGTCACTACACCATTCCACCCTTCCACAAGACCTCCTGCCAACTTTCCTCTACTCGCATCCAATTAAAAATTACTAGTACAAAATCAGTCACACCTCTTAACTCTTCTCCACTATGCACTGAGGTCTGTTCCACAAAGCACCTTTGTTTCAGCTGCCTTCAGTGTCTGAAACACATTTCCATGCATCCCTATCATAGTCACCAGAGTGACAAGGCGAAGCGTCTGTGGGTTGTTTATACGTGAACCTGCTCTGTCCATCAAGGGAGACAGAATTCCTGGCCCCCAGGTTGCTTCCCAACGCACTGTCAGAGAAGGGCAGGAGAAGCCGGCTTTTAGAATATAAAGGATAAAAAGAACTTTATGACAGACACTTCCCCGCTCTTCAATGATGAATGTGAAAGGAGAAAGGAACTGTGATGTTCAAGTAGAACACATCACAGACAGAGGAAGCAGAGCTGGGGTTGCTTAGACCTACATCGCAATGACCACATAGACACTTTTGTTAAACCCACCCGAATGCAGGGAAAACCAGAGCGGTGCCATTATCTAGATATAAGGTGTGGTCTGGGATATGCTGGGGTAAAAGTTTAGGAATTCTGAAGGTTACCAGTGATTTGAAGAACAAAACAATATTTTAAACTGGCATCTTCTATAAGATCTGAATTCTTGATGATCTCAGGAGATGTACAAATTCTGAAATTGCTGCTAAGATACAGTAAGTTAAAGATACAGTAAGTTAAATTTAAAGTCACATATTTTATATGACAATCGGGCACTATGTTCATTCTTTTCAAGTCCTCTGTTCAGTTGACCATTTAAAAAAAGTTTCATTAGATATATGCATTTTAAACAAAGGCTAAGTACTCAATGATTTAATGTTGTTCAGAATTCAGAAGACTCCAGTTTAGCTTAGTTTTACAACTGATTTTAGGTATCTGCTAACAATGTTGCAGAATCATTTGCCTATAAGACGTCAAATCATGAATTTTGCACAATTTTCAAACAAAAGCACTATAGTATGATCAGGAGACCTGCCTTCGCAACCAAACTCTGTTAACAATGGATAGTCTGACTTTCTGTGAGTCTCTTTATGTCCCGTTCATTATTTCCTCATCTATAAAATACAGGATTGAATTAGTTTTAGAGTCCCTTCTTTGTCACATTTTCATTTTAATCAGCAAAGCTTAGTTATCCGTTATATCTGGCATTTTTTTCTTTAGGAAAATGTGGTTTTGCACATATTCCATCTGATCAATATGAGCAAAAGGCTATCTTCTCTGTATAAATATCAAACACAATTTTAGCACGTAAGTTAGATCAGGCTGCTCTCTTTGGGCACTCCCCTGGTTAAACCCGTTTCTCTCTCTGTACTTAGTTATTCTAGCTTTGTCTCTGATAAATTTATGATAAAATTTTTTCTATTTCATAATCAATCAATCAATCAATCCAAACAAGGCAGATAAAGTAAATGCCTCTTGGTTCCTCCCATGCTGCTCTCCCTCCCTCTCTTCTCTTTTCCAGTTCTGAATTTCGCTCTCAACTCCACAGCTTTCTAATCAGGGAACTTTTCAAATTCACCAGCAAATTCACAAATTTCGTTTCGAATTCATAAGAAAATGATCCAAAGTTTAAGATGCGCAGCACGCTCTGAATGGAAACCTGCTGGGGAAGTCTTCCATTTGGGGACCACGTCTGCCACAGCACGTGTCTCATCATAGACGCCTTGGGAATTTCAGGAAGGAGGGTAACAGAAGTCTGTTTCCGAGTTCAGTTTGCACTTACTGACTTTCCCTGCCACATTCAGCCCTCTGGTTTCTATCAACACTCCACCTGCAGCTTTTTAAGTCGGAGTGGGTGGATGCTAGCAAGGAAATCAGCAGTGATAGATGATTTATACATATGGCATGTTGGAGAAACACATAGAGCTTGAAAAAAGAGGAAATATTTCCTATTCTTTCACTTTGATGCTATTCCACTGGGTAGCAGGGTAAGAAGGAGAAAAAGGCTGGGCTCAACATATGGCTTCTATTATGAAGAGAGCCAAGGCTACGCTTCTAAGTATTATAGTTTTGTATTTTACATTTTTTTCTCTCATTTCTCTATTATTTTATAGCATGCCAGATAGGATTCTATATGACTTCAAAGTCCCATTTCTTTTTTTTTTTTTTTTTTAAGATTTTATTTATTTGAGAGAGAGTGAGAGAGAGAGCATGAGCAGGGGGGAGAGGAAGAAGTAGGCTTCCTGCTGAGCAAGGAGCCTGATGCGGGGCTCGATCCCAGGACCCTGGGAGCATGACCTGACCTGAAGGCAGACGTCCAACCGACTGAGCCACCCAGGTGCCCCTCAAAGTCCCATTTCTGAAGCTCATCAACTGAGAACTGTTCTATAAAAATTAAGTAGCAGATTCACTCAATTAGGACAAATAAAGGTAATCTTCTTGTATTCTATTAAACTATAATGCCTAGTAATTTTATCTTCTCATCTGTAATAAGACGTTATTCTTAGATAATCTAGAAATTTTAGAGTATTATGTGCTTTGGAAAATATTGGGGTGGATCAGCAGTCAATTTTCATTATAGTGTAATGTCCTCCCCTGCAGGGATTGGAAGACTAAAAATGACGTGTTCCAACTCCCTTGCATCTTCTAGGTGCATTTCGGTTTGGTGAATCAGATACACTTGCAAGAGGTTTGGAAGCCAGGCTTTCGGCTATGACTGCACCTCTGCGGCTTCCAAGAGCAAGCAGCACGGTGGCAGCCTCTGGGTTTTCTACGGCATGCTTAGCGGAGAGCCCCGTTTCCCGTCCCTCATCTTGTGAAGGTCACGATGAGGGATTTCCATGTTACTGATTCAAATTATAAGTGTGGTTTTGTTCAATAATAGAGGCAGCCAATAACAGAGGCAGCAGCTTTCTGAACATAGCAGTTTCCTGACTACAGCTGAGGTGGTAGAGTTCTGGAGCCAACTGCTTGATCTTGGAAAAAAACAAGGGCTCTGAAGAGCAGCTTTGGGAGCCATTTTTTGAAGGTTTCATTTATAGATGGCTTCGTTTGTCCTCTTGGTGATTCTGTGAGCCACTGGAGACCCAATCGTAAATGTTTCCCGGCTTCCACCACTTAAGAGATTTTGCTCTCTGCAACCAGACCCCGACTGATGCACTATTCGTTGGATAACTAATTAATAAGCGTGTACTCTCCATGACATTTGCTGGGCAGTATATGATCTGTCTTACCTTGATAGGTTCTCCGTGGGGAGACATAACTTCATCAGAGAGCTCCATCATCTTCAGGGCCATCAGTGCTATTTGAACAGCATGGGTGTCACTTTCTTTGTGTAATCCCCCAGCCACACAGTACGCGTCGCCAATGGTCTCCACCTGCACATAACAGATTCTCCGTATTACAAATACAAGTTCGGAAAGAAGGAGAGTGAAGGTCAGGCCTTCTGGAAAATCAGAGTAAATCAGACACTCTCAGAAATGGCTTTCTCTTTCATGAAATTCATCAAGTTTAGACGCCTTTACATCAGGCGCTGCTCTGGAGGACAGTGTGGTCCTGTGAGCAAACGTCAGGAGGTGGCTTCTACTCCCAGACTAGCTGCTGACTCAACACAGCATTTCACCTTTTTTGTTCCCCCCACCACGTAAAGTGGCTCTGTAGAGGCCAATGATGTAGTGTAAATGATATCTTGTGTTTATAACAAATTGCTTAAAGCTATCGGAATCACTTGCTGATTTTATATCCTCTTCGTGTGCAGTGTTTTAAATGGTCCCTGCTCAATCAATGTCATATGAAGTTAGCAAGAATGTGTGATATGAAACTAAGACATTATAGTTTTTCAAAAGGATTTGGGGATTCTCAGAGCAACTATAAGTAGGTCTCCATGAATATCAATCACGAAGTATAGAAATCAAGATGTCAAACAAGGGTGCTTGGAAGGCTATTGAAAATCAAGCTGTTCTACAAATTCCAAGTGTTATCATTGTCACTACATTGTTGTAACGGGATTTTTATCTATCCGTGATGCTGATGACAAAGCTGCTGGTTAATTTAAATCCACAAATAATCCACCAAATCTTCATCATTGCATTTTTCTTCTCCTCTAAATATTTATTTTAACTTATTAGATCATATCACTCTTCTTATCCAAACCTTCTAGTATGGAGGGAGATGAGAAAGGAAAAAAGAAAGGGAGACAAACCTTCAGTGATTCTCCATTTCACTCAGAATCAATGCTGAAACTCTTAAAATGCCCCCAAAGTTCTTCTGACCTTTCTGCTAATCTCTGATTTTATTTCTTCATCCTCTCTCTTGCTCACTTTGTCCCAGTGCCATTGGCCTCCTGTTATCCCTCAAACGTACCAAACATGTTCCCATTTGCTATTCCTTTGGCTGGAACAATCTCCTGCAGAGAGCTACTTGGCGTGTCCCTCATTTCTTCCAGTGCCTGCTAAAACATCCCCACGTGAGAAACGCCTCTCGCAACTGCCCTCTATAAAACAGCAATCACCCTTACCTTCTGCACTTCTCCTCCTCAGCTTTATCCAGAATAGCACACCAGTTGGAATGCTATAAATTTACTCATTGGTTCATGTTCCTTCTTTTCCCCAGTAGAATGTTAGCTCTCTCAGTTTGCCTGTTTTACTAAACTCCTCAATTACCAGTGCCCAGTATATTTGCTACCAAGTGAACCAGGTGGCAGTGCCTCTTATAAGATTTTCCTCAGCAACGAATACATAAGAAGTGCCTAAAATAATGGCTAACATATCTCATGTGCCCAATAAGTGTTACTTAATTAGAAGAAGTGGCGCCCTCACTCCTACTTGGTGTTAGATGCCCATTCTCTACGCTATCACAGAAGCCTGTGTTCTCAATCAGGCTTTCACCTTGTGGTATGGAAATCTGGCAGTGGTCAGCCCCTCCCTCCTCTACCCCCACATATGAGATCTTTCCATTCATGCTGGCCAACCCTGGCTGACAGTAAAAATGCGCCAAAACAATCAATAAATGAATACTGAATAAATTGAAAAATGAACAAAAGACCAAAAGACAACAAGAAAATGAAATTAAATAAAGTCCTGGTACAAACAGGTCCTGGGAGGAAAAAGAAGCTAGACTGTTCCTTGGAAGTCACCACACTCACAGGCGAGCAAATGATTACACATTCTGTGCATCTTACATTTATCTCCTGGTGAAGACCCTTCCTGATTTATTCATAGCTGTCTCCAGGTATTTTCATGCAAAATCAGAAGTGAAGAGAAGGTGGGAATAAGGACAGAGCAGATGATTCACTATCTAGCTTGGGTTGTGGACGGATTAACCACGGAACTGTGGCTACTATCCATGTGGTAAGGAGCACAGATTCTGAATACTTGTTGGAATAACTGAATTGTTTTAGTTTCAACAAGTAGAAATTTGTAGAAGAAGCCTACCGCCTCTGCTAGTAAGCACAGCAGCTGCAAGCGAGAGCGAGACTTTCTTCTTACAATTCCCAGAAGAGACAATGTCAAGATAGAAACTATCTACAAACAAATATAGTAAATTCCACAAGAGGCCATCAAGTTTAACCTAACGAAAGCCAATTATTTTATCAGTAATTATACAGGGACCTCTTTTTTTTTTTTTCCCCCAGGGGGATCATGGCTCTGTCTGGAATTTCCTGCTGGAAATTCTTAAAAGGAAGGTTTTATTTCGAGCAGCTAGATTGGAACAAAGCAGAGGCTTATGTATTCCCATAAATAATATTTGTCTTTTCCTCAATAATGTATTTATTTCATGTTGGGTGAATCTCTGAAACGCCAGATTGTATGCGACAAACTAAAAGGTGATTCAAGCCACACGAATGAGAAGGGTGCTTTATTCTTAATGCCAGTGGCGAGAATAATGTGAAAGACTTTAAATTAGTAAAAAATAGGCTTTAATTCTAGGAACACAGAACACAAAATCACTTCATTAGTTCTCTTATGGCTAATTGAGTTACATTTAAAAAAAAAAAAGGGCTAGTACTCGTTAGAGACAATTACTGAGCCTCCCTGTGCCTAGAATGATGCCCAGTACGTGGTAGACACTCAGTAAACCCTGCCACATCATGAATAACAGATATTATTTACCATCATCTTGGTAATAGGCCTGTTCATGAAACATAATGTATGTTATTCATGCATCTAAACTGTGTAGGTGGATATTACTTTCTGTTTCAGAAATGAGAAAGGCTATTCCACTTTCTCACCTTACAAAGCAAGTAGAGAACAAGATTTGAAGACAGGCCTCTCTGTCTCTGTCTCTGCCCTTGGCCTCTCTTCAATAATGCCTTAAGTCAGTGTTTTCTCCCTCTTAATCAGCCATACTAAGTATCACGTTAACTCCATATTGAGTTAACCTATTTGAAGATAGTTTGTATACTCCTCTATGAAAAGATAGTTTGTATAGTCCTACTATGAAAAGTAGTATTACTCCTCATGTTTCTTCTGTACTTTCACAGAGGATAACTTTTCCCCATGCAAGTCATACCTGGAATTATCTCATGCTTGATAATTCAACTCAGTTGCCACAGTCCAGTGTCACGTTCACTGACTTTTAAACTGTACCCGTTCACGGATCCTACACCCCATCCTCCACTCAGCCTATCACCCCTCCATTCTATGCTTATTCTTTGAGAAGACAATGGGGCAGTTCTTTCATGGAATAATTATCTCTGTTTCTGAGCAGATTCGGAGCTATTTCTGGCTAGAGCACACCCACATGGTTAACACACAATGCCTGCTCCCAGGACGTTGCTTTGCAGAGAAAGCCTTTCATCTGCACGGTAGCTCGGTAACTTGGGGGTCCTGGCTGCCGTGCTTTTCCTCAGTGTCTTCTGCCTGTCAAACGGGCCTTGCCCTCCTCCACCCCTACCTTGTAGACATCCAGCTCGCCGCACTGCTGGTCAAAGCGAGTGTAGAGTGCATTGAGCATGGTGATGACCTGCAGCGGGGAGCACTGGGAGCAGATGGCCGTGAACCCCACGATGTCTGAGAAAAGCATGGTGACGTCACTGAACCTCTTGGCTTGCACAACTTGCCCTTGCCACAGCTGCTGAGCAACCTCGCAGGGAAATATGGAGCACAGGAGATCCACCGTCTTCTTCTTCTCCTCCTCCAGGGCTTGGTGGGCTTGCTCAAGGGTGGCCTTCAACTTGCCCAACCTCTTCTTCAGGCCATCTTGCGCTCTGGCTTGCTCTCCTATCAAGACTACATCCCTCAGCGCATTGTGAATTGGGATGTCTGAGAGGTAGAGCCCTCGTCCCGTAAAATCTTCTAATCTGTCCACACAGGGTGACCCCAAGAACAAGATGGCACTGGATTCAACAATGTAGATCATTTGGCCTTTGAGGTCCATAACCTGGGAAGCAAAGGCAAACCAATTGTCATGGCTTATTTCAGTTTCCAACACCTTTTTGAGACAAAAGGAAAGGCAGAAGATACAGTTGTGATTCCTTTGTGTCTAAATGGTTTTTTTCTACCCGCTGAAAAGGAACAATATGCTTTCTTATAGTTCCAATGTACTGTGCATTCTAAAATGCACGTGGGCATTTGAAGAACGGACAGATTGGAAAAACTCTACATAGAGATCATGATTTTCAATAAACAATGCAAAAAATTTTTGCCTCAAGGCTTTCTCACTAGGGGGAATGCTGATGCTTCTGCTATTATATTCTTTTCATAGTAGCAGATAGCATAAAGGATTGTACCTAGGAAGCCTTGAGAGACGTGAGGCTGTAGGTGATCATCCTGGTTTAGTGTATGAGTGAGAACAAATACGTATAAGTGTGTTCCCTGCAGCAAAGAGTCAAAATCAACCCCAATGTCCTCAGGTAGGAGAGAAGCATACAATGGGATTCTAGACAGTCTTTGGAAAAAGGAAATAGGCCTATACCTCACGACAGGGAAGAATGCCCGAAATGTGTTGTTTAGTGAGAAAAAGGAAGTTGCAAGTAGTATTTTGTTTTGTTTCACACACACAAAAATGTATCTAACTAATGTCTTTGATTTTTTGGCTGCAGTGAACATCTTTAAGTATTACCTATTTTGAGCATTTAGCTACATTGCTTTTATGATAAAAAGTAGTAAAACTGTTTTCATTTTGGGAACAAACTGCACATCTCCTGGAATTATGCACGTTTAAAAGTTATATGCATATAAGCCTGAATATTAGCTTTGCTTGTACCATCAACTATGAGTTTGCAAACTCTTTCCTTGGACTAAATAATTACCCAAATTCTCTACCATAAGAACAACCCCCCACAACGTTCTCTAACAATTAAAAAAGTTATTGATTTTCCATGTCTGTTAAATATTGATTAAAAAGTCCATTTAGTTGTCTCCTCTAAGAAACAAGTAGTTTTTGTTTGTTTGTTGCAGAATAATGCCTCTTGTTACTCCAAACTGCCAGCTATTTGATGATGATCGAAAACATATTTTTATATAAATATTTATCTACTTCGGCTTATAAAATACTCTGAGAGGATTTTAAAAGGTAGACCGCATCCAATAAATATTTGTGAAGTAACGAATCAAGTAAGCAAGCAAATGAATGAAGAAAGGATTTTGTTGTAAATTATGTCAGCCTTAAAATTATATTAGAATTGTCTCAAACATACCGGTGTTTCATCAAAACATTTGAAGTGATGCCGATCTTCCTACCTTTTTGTTTCTAGTCCTTAAACAAGAAATGAAATCATTTCTCATATTCCAACTACTATGACATTTTCCTTACCCTTGAAGATTTCTTCACAGAGTTGTCCCACCTCCTCACTCGGATGACAAACTGCATGTTCAACATAGCCATGATTCCACTAAACGTTTGGTTGATTCTGGGAGTCAGAATCTCAAAGTACTCTTCAAAATTCGGCTTTCCTTGAAAGTCTCTCCTGTTCATCAGCCTTCGAATGCCATGGCCAAACTGCAGAATCGTCAAGTCCTTGTCAAACATGAAATGGAAAGGAAAGGTCTTACAGAAGAGGGAAGCGGGGATCACCAGCGAGGACTGGGGTTTGCCCGGGGACAGGGATGGTTTGGTGCTTTTGACATGAAGGGAATACAACAGATAGGGCTGATTGACGAACTCGCTGCAATCATTTCGGAAGCAGGGAGGCAGGAGAGACACTTCAACTTCGGTTTCGTACAACACGCGCGCAGCAGCCTTAATGATGCCAGGAAGAATCAGGGACGTGATTTTCTTAGGGAAAAAATAGTATACATTTAAGAAATCCTGATCTTTATCCAGGCACAGAATGGAAGCGTCCTCAAACCCGCCTCTCTTTTCTGCTCCTTGGTAGTGGCCGCTCTGTTTCAGAAGGGTGCTGAAGCTATTTAAAAAATCTTTGAGGGTTCCTCCAACCACACCCAGGATGTGTTCATCTTCCTCGTAACATATTTTGAAAAGCTCTTCCCCGAGAGATTCTTTGACGATTTCCACTGGAACTCCTGAAAGCAAAGAATACCTTTTCTGCCATATCAACTCTATCGTTCCTGGAAGAGCTGTAGTACAGTTAACTACTATTTTTAACACCATTTGATGGGATGATCTGGTCCCCTTTATGTCTGGTAACAAGAGTTTCCACCAAAATTAGCCATCTATATTCAGATTATCTATGTAGGTGAGTTTCTACAATTCTGGAAACGCCAAATAAAAATTCCCCATCAGTTAATTACAAAAGAATGATAAATTAAGTATACTATATGACTTTTAATCTCCCTGAAGAGACTGTTCTTACAAAAGAACAATCAGTATTACAGAATCAGGTTCATTTCAGAAAAAGCTCTCCCGTCATTCTGTTAATGACAAACACAGTACATCTTGGTGAAGGGGCACTGTCCCCACTTGGAGGGCCTCCAGCAGTAGGAATGTCAAACAGGAATGAATTTAAAGTCACCAGTTATGAAACTCAATTTTGTCATTTTTTTCTTTAGAGATGATATAAAGTCATTTTTAATTTTTTTTTTAAGCAAAACAGCATTCTTGTTGTTTAATGTTACCTGAATATTTGTTTGGAATTTACTTCCTGTAACTTCTCCTTCCCTAATCTCCTTTATTCTTTAAATTTTGTGTATCATTTTTTCTCTCATCTGTAATTTGGAAGAACAATAGTGCCCTTTCCATTGCACTGTTGTGATGTGGAGAGACTATGTTTAAAATAGTGCCCAGCTCCCAGGGAGGGCTCAGTATGTCAGCCATCACCATCATCATTAAATTCTTAGTATCTTGTATCTTCAGAAAGATTTAACCCATTGGTCCGTGTCCTCCAACTTTGAAAAGGACAGTACGACAAAGTTACTCATGTACTTGCTTCCCTCAAACTAATCATTAATATGAGAACCCTGCTAATCCTTTTTCCCAGGATTGCTTCCAACCTTCAAAAACATTCTTTATTTTACTTTGTTGAATAAAATTTTTCATGAATAAATGAAGAATACTTAGTTAAGTTCAAGGCCAAAGCATGTAAATGTCTATGAGTCAGCTTCCCATGCAGCCTTATCTATGTCTTAGCAAATAAACATTATAAAGAAGAGGAAATGTTTTTGGTCAAACAGAAATACACAGCATGAAAAAGAATTACTCTTTATGTTAACACAATACATAATACTGAATACTTCACACTGGAAGTCACCAAAAAATAAATATGAATATTTTAGGAGAAAATTTTAGTTCTACAGGTAAATATTTCTACTAATAGCAAATATTAGTTTATAGGTAAAATATTAGTTCTGTAAGAATAATTACTCCCTAATTACATATACTTAAACAATTCTATTACCTGCTGCAATTGCATGGTCTGTAATTATTTTTTCCAAGTCTTCTCTTTCCAAAGATATCCTGAAAATATGTCAACATCTTAAATTATAAACTGACAAATGAATGCTACAACTTCTGATTATAACATACAGACATGACGACAGAAAATAGTTTGAGCTGCCTTTTCTGTAGAGGCAAATCGTGACTATCAAGTTTACCAGAAAGGAGCAACGACATGTGCAACCCCAAAATATACCTGATTTGGAGTGTTTCCTCATTTTTTTGAAGCATATATACCTTGTAAGTTAACTTTACCTAGGCTAATACTAGAGAGGTTTACACTGGCAGGGAACCAGCGTATGAAATGGGCAAGTAAGGATGGTAATAAAGCCGCCCAGGGTTTTTCTGATAACACAACCAAGAAGAAAAATTTACATACTGATGGATTTCACTTTTTAAGTTCCACTATCTTTTTTCTTTTCTTTTTTTTTTTTTTAATTTTATTTATTTATTTGACAGAGAGAGTGAGAGAGAGAGAGAGAGAGGGCACAAGCAGGGAGAGCAGCAGGCAGAGGGAGAAGGAGACTCCCTGCTGAACAGAGAGTCCGACTCGGGGTTCCATTCCAGGACCCTGGGATCATGACCTGAGCTGAAGGCAGTCACTTAAGGGACTGAGCCACCCAGGTGCCCCCACTATCTTTTTTCAAAAACAAATACACATATTTGCGGGCACATATGCAGGTTTAGTCTCTTTTTTTAAAGGTCAAGACAGAGAACTTATTTTTATTTGCATTATGTGCTGTTTGCACTCAGTTTTGCTCACATCTCATATCATGGGTGCAGGGAATTGACAGAATTAGGGTTCTCTGAGCAGAAATGCTCTCATTCTTTAGGAAAACAAAGGTTTTCCTAAACCTGAGTTTAAGGTTCTATATATTTAACTCTCCAGCATTATTACATTGAGCTATGTGTATAAAAATTAGTAACTAAAGAAATCTATTCTTTATTCAATTACTGCATTGGTTTTTACAGCACAGAAGTTGATAATATAATAGCATACATTTTGATTGATAAAAAGTTTTGGTAATTTTGAGTAGATGACTTATTGATTCATGTTTGCCTATTTGTTTTTTGATGATTTCTGATAGTGATGACTTGTTATGACCAAATTACTAACACATGTTAAAAGACACCTAAGGTTCTATTTGTAGTTCAATTTACCATTAGATAAGCCAAGTTTACAAACAGGCAAAAATCTAAATTTTAAACAGGTTTCAATAAAACACAATACATGTAGAGAAGTTTCAAAACGAAATATTTTCAAGAAGGAAAACTACTCAGTCCACTACTTTATCACATAAAAGGTACATTGCTTATAACTGTTTAAAATGCTAGGTAGAGGGGCACCTGGGTGGCTCAGTCGTTAAGTGTCTGCCTTCAGCTCAGGTCATGATCCCAGTGTCCTGGGATCGAGCCCCGCTTCGGGCTCCCTGCTCTGCGGGAAGCCTGCTTCTCCCTCTCCCACTCCCCCTGCTTGTGTTCCCTCTCTCGCTGTGTCTCTCTCTGTCAAATAAATCTTAAAAAAAAAAAAAAAAATAAAAAAATAAATAAATAAAATAAATAAAATGCTAGGTAGAAATACTTCCTTATCTAAATTGGTTGCGGTTCACTATCTAATTTTATATTTAGTTTGAGTCTAGATATCCCCAAACTTCTTGTTATATATTATTTTATGTTAATCTTCTTCAGATTTGCTTATTTTTCTCATTTAAGCAATTCCTGTTTTGTTTTCCTAAAGAATGAGAGCATTTCTGCTCAGAGAACCCTAATTCTGTCAATTCCCTGCACCCATGATATGAGATGTGAGCAAAACTGAGTGCAAACAGCACATAATGCAAATAAAAATAAGTTCTCTGTCTTGACCTTTAAAAAAAGAGACTAAACCTGCATATGTGCCCGCAAATATGTGTGTGCTTGTACATACACACACATACACACACGTACACACACACTCACACACACATACCAGCCATGCACAGATATGCTGATGTGATCAGAAGATCCCAGGAAGGGGCGCCTGGGTGGCTCAGATGGTTAAGCGTCCGCCTTCAGTTTAGGTCATGATCCCAGGGTCCTGGAATCCAGCCCCGCATCCGGCTCCTGGCTCAGCGGGGAGCCTGCTTCTCCCTCTGCCTCTGCCTCTCCCCTCTCATGCTCTCTCTCTCTATCTCTGTGTCTCAAATGAATAAATAAAATCTTTAAAAAAAAAAAAAAAGAAGATTCCCAAGAAAAGAAACAAAGCAAAAGCTCTCTGTGAAACCAACCCAGAGAGATATCACAATGACTGTATTAAAATTCATTCACTTAAAAGGTGGGGGGCAGAGGGCTCCAGTCTTCATTTAGGGACAGTTTATTGTTTAATATATTGATTTTTTCTTTTCAAATCATATAAGATAATAAATAGTCCAAAAAAAGAGTTATGTTCAGTGGTTGGCAGGCTGAGAGCAGTAGAAATGGCAGCTGACTTTCCAAAATGAAGATGGGGGGAGAAAGGAAACAAAAAATATATCCAAGAACTAAAAAAAAGCAAAACAGAAGAAGCCATTTAGCCTATCAGCAGGCAGTCATGAGAGAAAAGGTTTGTCATCTTATTTCAACAACTGAATAATTATCATTAGCACAATTTAAAAGTATGATCAGCTCTTTAAGAAATCAAGGAAACGGTAAAAAAAAAGCTTTTCAGATTTCCAAATAAAATGATTTCTTTTTTTTAAGTTTTGAGGTATTTTTAAAGAGATACACCACTGGGAATACATCCTAACTGAACCCCTGCAGCCTCTGGCTTGGAACATTTCAGAACACAAAGCCCTGAGAATCAATTTTGAGGCAACTGGCTGCCAAGGACTTAAGCAGACAGACACAGTAGCTAGCTACAATGACTGGTGGCTATTTTCTCAGCTTGACTGAGAATTGAGGTCAGAGGCATTCTGGAATGCTTTTCCTATCACTTGTGTAAACAAAGCTTCTGTCAGACACAGAGATTCACACTCTCTCCTTCTGGACCCCTCCTGACCCATTCCTGGCTTGCCCGCTGTCTGCAGTCTGGGACCAGTTAGTCAACAGGGAAAATGAAGGACAGATAACCCACTCATGAGAAATAGGCAGATGAATGAATGTATAACATATTCCCGACAACGGTGTTGGTTTGCAAAGCTGCAATGTTCAATTCTGCAAATTTGAACCCAAGTATTTATTCTATTATTTACAAATGAAATAATCCTTGAGATTCCAAGGAATCAAAAACAAGGCCAATCAAATTCCCCACCAGCAGTAAATGTGCCAAGATGTATTTGAAAAAATTAACTCTAGAAAACGGCTTAAAAAAAAACAAAAACAAAAACAAAAAACAAACCATCTTATATATTAATCCTTTAAACCCTTTCTTTAAACAAATTTCAAAGACAGAGTTCAAGAAAAAAGTATAGATGGAATTGATACTCAGCCAGTGCCTACAAATATAACCAAAGGGGTTACAAAAATGTGGAAACACTTCCCTTAGGACTGATAAACAGCTGTTGCCTCAAGCCCCCTGAGTCAACCTCTCCCTTTCATTTATTTATTTTTAAAGATTTTATTTATTTATTTGACAGAGAGAGACACAGCGAGAGAGGAAACACAAGCAGGGGGAGTGGCAGAGGGAGAAGCAGGCTTCCCGCAGAGCAGGAAGCAGGGAGCCCGATGTGGGGCTCGATGCGGGGCTCGATGCGGGGCTCGATCCCAGGACCCTGGGACCATGACCTGAGCCGAAGGCAGACGCTTAACGACTGAGCCACCCAGGCGCCCCAACCTCTCCCTTTCAACCACTCTCCCAACTTTGATTCTTTTTCAATCTCCTCCTGCTGCAGCAGCTGAAAGTTTGACGTGTGCGGGAGGTGCCCCCCTGCCCCACTCCCCTGCACTGGGACCCTGCTCCACCTTTTGACAGGAGTCTGTACTGATCATCTGGGATCCCTGCCTTACCTGTGAAGTACTGACATTACCTCTAGTAGGAAAGAATAGGCTTTATAGCTTGTTAAAAGCAGCAGTATATGGCAACATAGTTAAAATCATGGGCTCCCGAAAAACTCAGGCTTGAAACTCAGTTCTACCTTTTCCTGAACAGCTGTAAAATCCTAAACATTTTATATAAATCTGAGCTCAGGGATGTATTCAATGTGAAAAATAAATGCACTTACTTTCAGATTAGTGGCAGTTAAAACACTTAGTCCAGTTTCTCGAATACCACAGTGATTCAAAAAATGTCGACGCATTCACTAAGTGGTGTCTATTTGCAGTGATTATCAGTTAAGTGTAATGGGAGGTTCACACAACCTAAAGTGGTTCAATTTACCTGCTTTCTTTTAGTTTGTGTTTCGCGAGTGTCCTCTGAAGTGCAAGGTTCAGCCGCTCCAACTAAAAATTGAGAAGAAAAGTTTTAAACGTTCCCTTCAATAATTTACTTGAAGATAGCTATTTTAAACATTTGTCCTGGAAGTTTTTCTATCAAGCAGAGACATGATTACTTTACTGATGAGTGCGGTGAATTTACGATTTGTAAACGGAGACTGATTTTCTATAAATTTCTCAACTCTGGGAAGAAACAACGAGCTTTGACTAACTTGAGTTTGGATGATGTGGGCTGTGGCTCCCAGGCTTCGCACTTTGTGGGTGGTCTCACGGACAGCCACAAAACAAGGTCAGCCTGAATCGGAATCCAAATAGAAGACTCCAGTTGGTAATGCCAGGTCTTCCACGAAGGAATTGTGAGCACCACTTCCGCTGGGTCAGGAAATCCTCTTGGATGTGCTGCCAACACTTCAATCTCAGCGTGGCTCGAGCCAAGCAAATTCCTGTTCTCTTCACAAACCCTACACCCGGCCCCCCTGCTGATTTTCTCAACTACAAATGCGAATTTATGTTTCATATTTCATTTACATGTTCTGGCCTAGAAAACTCTGGAGCTATCTCTGTCTTTCCCCTTTCTCTAATACCTTAAATCCAAGCTTTCACCAAGGTCAGTTGATCCCTGATTTGAAACAAATCTTGCATTTACCCAAACTTGTACTAATCTCCTTACTTTGAACTAATTATTTTCATCAAATACTGACACTTTTACTCTCTTTTATTGATTTCTGAGTATTTCATGAGTTTTTCCACATTTTAACTTATTTGTATATATTGCTTATATTTGTATATAAGCCTCCAAACTTCATAAATACTTGACGATCTATTAATCTCTGTTAACAGCTTATTTTCTCTAACTAGTTGGTAAGTAGGACTTAGAGCGTTGGTTAGCAGGGCTGCCAATGTTTTGCATTCCATATAAAAACCATATGTATCTATAAGTGTATATATAACTGTTGATTCTTTCTGTGGTTTGCCCAGAGGAAAGTAAAGAATTTTCTGGTTATGTTCCAAGTTGGGAAATTCCTTTTTCCCTAAGAACTATTTATATCCCTCTTACAGTTCCCACTGGTCAAATGAGGCAGTGGAGTTAAGCAAAATAGAGCAAGCTTCTGTTTTAATAAAATGAGTTATGGAAAGAATTTTTAGTTTTAAAGTGCATATAGAGCTTAGGGAAAAAATCTGGAATTTATTGGAAAAAACAGAAATGAAAAGTTTGCATTGGATGAGCAATAACACCTTTTCAGGCCCTTTTATTCCACTACTCTGGAATGACATCTCCCCACTCTAAATCTTCTAAGGATACTTGCCCCCTCCCCTGCCAAAAAAACCCCAAACAAACCCAAAACACCATGACTGCAGAGTTAAATCTAATTATCTAAAACAAGAACTATAATGCTGTCAAATGCCGTTCTGAGTCTCTCCTTTACGTTGCTGATAGAATTGAAACTAAACAGTAGGCTAAGCATTAAATCTGTCCACATAAAAAAGAATCAGTGAAAAAAAAAGTTGTATTTGATCAAAGACATGCTGATGTTTGGACAGTTGATGAAGTGATCTACACTCATCACTACATAGTCCAAACGCATCCGGCAAGTACTGTTATAAGGCAAATGGTCTCAGTTGTCAGAGTTCTAGTCATTAATGCCAAATGTACCCCTTTTACCCCCTAGAGTTCCTACAGCTTTGCCTTCCCTGCTACATGACGCTCTAGTCAAATTTTGATGTTTATTCCTATGAGTTCATGAACAATACAGATTATTCCAAATGAAGAAAAAGTAAAAAAGGTAAAATATCATTTAGAGTTGGTATTCAGAATGTTTTTAATATTTTTTTTAATTTTTTGAAGACTTTATTTATTTATTTGAGAGAGAGCACGCACAAGCAGGGGGAGCAGCAGGCAGAGGGAGAAGCAGGTTTCCCACTGAGCAGGGAGCCCGATGCGGGGCTCGATCCTGAGATCACGACCCGAGCCAAAGGCAGACGCCCAACTGACTGAGCCACCCAGGCGCCCCCAGAATGTTTTTAAAAGAGATTCTGACGTGTGTCTGACTTCAATGGCAGGAATTCAAAATTTATCCAACACAATAATGAAGCCAACATGGTAATGACAGGACCCAGGGAAGAGGCATGGGAGCCCTCCAGCTTTCCCATCCTCACCATCTGTTCATCTCTGTGTGTCTCACTCTGTTCTTGGAAATGAGAGTCCCAACCACTTCCCAGACGATGATGCCAACCAACTCCCTATGAAGTATGACGTCACCCATCCCAGCCAAAGCTGGCTGCCCAGTAACTGGGGTGGGGTGAGAATAATGAAATATTTCCATGTCAAAGGCCATTAACCAAAGTCCTATTGTGTTAAAACTGTATTTGAAGTAAGTTCCCTCAACTCTCTGTTGATTCTAATGTCTCCATCTTCAAGCTTCAGTGCTAGTCCCTTCTTTCTCAGTCACCCTAGCCATGCTGTTGACAGGAGTAATGCTCTGCCCTTCGGAAGATGTGTGACTTTAGTCAAGTTGTTTAACCTCCCTAAGTCCTTCCTGGAAATGAAACAAGATTACCTTTGAAGTTCCTTTAAGTTTTAAAAATCAGCAGTCTGTGGTTCTTCAGTGCTCCACACAAAGCAAAGGGTGGGTGTTGGGTGAATCAAAAATGTTCAGTGGATTATTATAGCTGGAGTCAGATTAGATCAATGTCCAATCTCTCAGATTAAGTGAGTTTATATAAAACTGTGAACACTGCCAGAGGGAAGAAGACATCATGAAGACTTGTCAGCTGCTCTTCCTGTTAGCCCTGCAGGGGGAGAGGAGCTCTCCACATATCCCTCTATTCCTAAGATATGTGACTTCATTAGGTACGTGCCCTGTCCCCAGGATTCTCTTATAGGTGGATTAACAGAAGGTGCTCCAGATCTCAAAGGGGCATGAGGCTACACAGCTCACAGAGCTAGATCAAGAAGTGTCCGAGCTAATGTGCAAGCATGGGGCCATGACTCTGACTCAAGGAAACAGGTCAAGCCTGGCTTGTGCAGAGACTTCAGACGCAGAGCCGGAGGAGGAAAAGGGAGATTTTCCCACCTCAACAAATGGCAGGGAACATACGATGCTCTTTGGAATTAGAAGAAAATGGGTAGAAGATAAGTTATTCTTCAAGGAATTTAATTTTAAGATAATAGCTAACAACTAACAGGCACTTACGGTATGGCAAGAGCCATGGATTAAATCCCTTCGTGCTCATTAAAACTCTAGGGAGTAGGTACTGTTATTACCACCATTTCACAGATAAGGAAGTTGAGGATAAGAGGGGCTAAGCGGTTGCTCAAAGTCAGAAAGCTCATCAGAGTGCAGGATCCTGTTGAAAAGAATTCACGATCTTAAACACTGATTAAGATTAAACATAATTTAAGAACATGATTGCTTTCAAGAAATGGTTTTATACGTTTCCAGGAAATAGTCCACATTTCTTAGAGCCTTGCAAGTGAGAAAGCAAGGGTTAACATTTTCCTTAAAAAATATTCTTTTACAATTTTCAAAATATCAGTAAAATCTCAAAAGGGCAAGCACTCACCTCGGGAAAAATCAGTTTACAAATACTCTCCGCCAACGTATGAAGATAAACTCGGCTCCTACTGGTCTTTCTTTGAGGAAGACTTCTTTGTACATTCTTTTCAGGGACATCCTGACAGACGGGCAGAGTTGCTTTGCCACTCTCTGAGCTTCCTGCTATCTCTTCCCCTGGCTCCTTGGGAACCTGCCCAGGTGCCAGTAAGGACAAAGGGCATTCCCCTGTGATCTTGAGATCCTTCAGCTTTGTGCAGAACATGGTGTTCGTAGCCTCTCACCCTGCTGTAGAGCACCTCTGGGTGAGCCGTTCTTCTTATGTGGGACTGACAGTCGAAGCCACTAGCAGATCAAGGATACTGGTGACTGGGGTGTCTATGGGTAGTAGAAAGTCAGAACAGAAAGACACGTGATTTTGTATACTTACAAAACCAGAAAAAGGCAGGTGTAAAAAAGCAAAGACCATACATTCATATGTCATTTTCAAGTAAGAAGAAAATTCTGGTGGACATGTCAGTTCCAAATTGGATGAACCATTTGGTAAAGGTCTTTATTTGCTATGTGTGCATTTTAGTATCCTAGTAAAATACTTGGTTTTAATATTTTTCGAATGGAGCATAATTTTCTCCCAAATGTCCCTACCACAAATGACTGATTTCCATTTTTATAGCCCATTCGGGCTAGTTTGATTCCACAAGAGTGGAACTTAATGGTTTTATGACAAAAGCCAACTATAAATCTATGTCTTAGGGCTAAGTACTACATTCTCATTATGCTCTCCCTTCTGAAAAATCAGAATAGCAGAAACCAGTGTCTCCCAATATTTAAAGGAAAAAAAAAGAAATATATATATATATATATGTGTGTGTGTGTAGTGATGCTCAAGTACATGTTTTTGGATCTGAAATACTGAGTTTCAGATGAAAAAAGATTAATTGAAATGATTACTGCAAAAGAAGATACTTGTTTCTATAAATAGCAAAATAATTTTAAAATATCATCAAAGTGAAAAACAAATAATTTTTTTTTTCGAAGAACTCCTCTAAGATCATGCCACTGGATTTGCAGGGGCCTCTGGATCTGAATCTAGATGACACTGGAGTAAACCAAGAAATTGCTGCTACTCTCTACTTAAAGTCCTCCCCCAAATCTGTGATCACATGTAATTTATGAATCTTCAAGAAGATACAAGGACGATCCTATCTATTCACGAGCAGAAGACATTTTCTGCCAGAATAGAATAGGGAGTTCTCTCAGCAGGCTACTGAGTGACCCAAAGGTAATTTGGTGATAGAAGGAATGGTTACTTGGAGTCCTAGAAATCCCAGGCTCTCAACCACATTTATTTTATGATTCAATTCTGAGAAAATAGATGTTACTCAGTCTTTAATGCATCTGAATGTAACTATTACTACTCACTAACTTCCATTCTCATACATGCTTTAGATCAGTGGACAGTAGACCTTTCTGTAAAAGGCCAGAGAGTAGATAATTTCAGCTTTGTGGGTTTCTATCAGTGACTTAACTCCTGCCATTGCAGCATGAATGCAACCACAGCTGGTATACAAAGGAATGGAATGGATGTGTTCCAATAAAACTTTATTTGCAAAAACAATTTGCTGTGGATTTGGCCCTCAGATTCACCCTATCGATTTGGATCAAGCCATAGCTTGCTGACCCCTGGTTATAGAAAGCTGAGCAGGTTAACCGAAGCATTTTAATCCAAACAGAATTCTGCCTGTAGGATCAGAGTTACTTCCTCATCTCCTCTACCCACCCCACCTCCAAAATATAGCAGCCTATGTGGATCCAGTTTTGTACAACTTGAAAGTAAAAAAAGGCAGCATAGTAGATAATATTAAATAACTATAAAAATTATAATAGCATTATTTTATATTAATCTTCAGGAAAAAGAGCTATATTAACTGAATGCCATGATTTCAGTTATATCAAAAGATAATTATAATAACTAGAAGAAGAGAGTACTCAAAAAAAAAAAAGGAAAGCAACAAAAAAAATAAATTTTAGATTGGATCTGATGAAGGTATAGAACTTTTCCTTAAAATAAGTTATTCTGGTAGTACATATTAGAATTTTAGTTTGGGACTTAGGGGTTCGACATAATACAGTTTATGATAAAGTCTCCCACTAAGTTTAACCTTCTCATTAATGTTGGATATCAACCCTTGTTCCCAAACCCAATATTTTGATTCTCAGCCTCCTATTCAATCTCGCTGCAAAAGAATAAAACCGACCAGTCAACCTTGAAATTCTTTCTTCTCCTATATTGCACAGCACTATAATTTCCAGAAAATGTGTCTAACACTGCTTTTTATTAAGTAAAAACAGCAACAGGAAACAAGTTGTGCTTACTTTAAGATCAGTTAAGTGTTTAGTATCATTAAATCACATATGTATAAACAAGCTAATTAGCATTCTTCATCTGCTCAACTGATGAAATTACATTATGAAACAGATGTACTCAGTGCTGATACCTTGGAAACCTATGTTTGTCTTGTGTTTGCCTGCTAGGAATACAGAATACGTTCTTCAACCAAACAAGTGATGATTTTCATGTGTAACATTAGCAGTGACTTTGGAAATGGTTTGGTCAGTGGCTGAACTCAGTACATAGATGGTTGTAGAAATGAGAGTAACCTGGTAGGGAAAAACAAATTAATTAAAGTAATAAACTTGGTGACAAGGCCCTGGCGAGCAGTGGGATATATGTTCTCAGAAACTCGGAGAAGTATTTGCCATCCCCAAGGTTGATGATTAAACAGCCTTCAAATGTATTGAATGCTCTCTCCCTTTTACTAGTAAGTGATTAACTCTGCTATGGTGAGAATAATGACCCAGCTATTGGCCTCATATTAATAACCAGGATGCGTGATTGTTCAGGTAAGGGGGCTGTCCATCATTTCAACTCTAGAGTAACACACAAAATCTTGTTTTCTACTTATACCAAGATCTGAGAGAAAATACCCCATAAGGACTTTGACACAGAAAACCTCTTTTACGACAGCAGGTCTTAAAGAGCAGATTTCAAATTAGAAATTGGGATGGTGGGAGGAGCCTAAGAACTAAGTCTCTATAGTAAAAGCAAATAGTTATAGCCAATGTCGAATTTCAGGCCTAGCACCTAGCCATGCCAAAATCTGTGGTTAAAGAGACGTGTTTTAAGATCAAATTCCAAAGTCGAAATTTTTAAGAGTAGCTGAAAGGAGACGAGAACTTAGAAATAAAAAGTGCCTTAGTGAGGATAAAGTTTGCATACAGCAGCACAGACTCATCACCATTTTCATAAATCGGTGTCAAGCTTAATTTTCAGGTAGACCAGAAATCTAAAAAGTCTTTCTTCTTCAAAAATAAAAAAAAGTAAATAAAACTCCATAAATCAGCCTTTCATAATGTGTTTCTTTTCATTTTTCAGTGGGAAATATTTGTAGAACTTTCCCCTGTGATCTATCAGGAAACCAGGACAAAGTACTAGAAAAACTGGTAAGAATGTCCAAGTCACTCCAGTACTAAGTTTAAAAAAAAAAAAAAAAAGGCAAGCCAATGTCAGACTGTTTCATCTCATCCCTGTTCCCCCTTATGGTCACACTTCTTGAAAGATAAGGCTTTAGGTGCTGTGTTCACTTCCTTAAAAAATAATTTATTCCTAAGTCTACAATTCCCTGGCTTTTGCTTCCACTGAGTTACTGACACCCTGACACGATAACCTCTGAAAAGTTAAAGCTCATGAACCTTTTGGCTTTTAACATAGTTGACGAATTCTCAAGTGCCATTTGTCTTTTCTTTTTCATAATCTCCACTCCCACAGATTCTTTGATACTTCTACGTCATTCACTTTTCATTCTGTTCAACAGGTATTTGCGGTGGCCTATACTATGTGTCAGGCCTTCTTCCAGGCACAGGGACAAAGAAGTGAAAAAAGGACATTGCCTGCCCTCTTGGAGTTCACAATCTGGCAGGAGAACTATTTCTGACACATCAGTTCCACGTGTGATCCATGCTACATAAAGGAGAAGGGCAAGTGAGTGCTCTCAGAGTGCAAATCAGGGATCCAAACCCAGTCCCAGGAGGAAGAGACATCTGAGCGGAGCTGTGACCCTGAACCAGGTCAAGAGAGTTCCAAACAGAACAGCATGCTTGGGGGCCAAGACAGACCTAGCTATGTTCTAGGAACTGAAATAATTCCAGCATGGCTAGAGCATGGGCTCAGGGAGAGCAAGGTGATGGTGGAGGTAGCTGAGACAGGCAGAGGGCAAGATTGTGGAGGGCTCTCTAAACCTTGTTAAACAAAGAAAAACTATTCTATGAGCAACCACCTGAAAGACTAAGATGTAAGAATGTGAATAGGTTAGATTGTACTTTTAAAGGATTATTTGGAATGGAGAATGAGAAATGTGTCAGAGTTGGACAGGTGGCTGATCTGGGCTGGACTAAAATAATGACCTTAGCATGAAAGAGTGGATCAATTCCAGATATTTCAAGTAGAGATCTACAGCCCTTAGCTATTGACTGGAGATGGGGGCTGAAGGACCGTGAAGACATATTCCTCTGAGTTTACTTCTCAATACTACAGTGAAGAAAAGACTCTAGGGCCCTTGGAGAGCAATCAAGAGTCCATGATCCATTTCCCAGGACTTTGGTTATTCAATCACAACTGAGCCCAGATTTTGGGCTTTCACTATTTCATAACACCTTGTGGGAGTCGGTGTGCTCCAATTCTCTTGCTAAAATCTCCTTTTGGAAAGTAATTTCTCCTTCTTCAAAAGCCCAGATGTGGGAAAGCTGACTCCAGTGTATGTTACAGAACAGAGCACTCACCTTCCAAGACTGCATCCGCGTGCAAGTGTAAGGTGTTTCCAGCTATCTTTAAGAAGAGTGTAGGGTAGTTACTTTGAATTTTTGTAACCGGAGAGCCCATACAGTCAACCTTCCCAAAACAAAGAAGTCAACTCTAAGGGCAATGGCAACCTCAGTTCTAGGGACCAAAATGCCCGAAATCCCCCCTCTCCTGATGGCAACTGCCTCACCTGATGGCAACTGCCTCCATACAGCTTATGTTTAATAATAATTATGGCGATAATTTTATTTAATACTGATAATTCTAGTTTAACAAACGGTATTTTCTTTTTTTTATGATTTATTTATTTATTTGAGAGAGAGCGAGAAAGTGTGAGGGGACGGGTGGAGAGAGGGAGAGAAGCGGACTCCCCTGAGCACAGAGACCCACATGGGGCTCAATCTCAGGACCCCGCGATCACGACCCGAGCCAATTTCTAAGTTCTCTTCTCCTTTCAGCTACTCTTAAAAATTTCGACTTTGGAATTTGATCTTAAAACACTTACATCTCTTTAACCACA